TCCAGGTCCTTCTAGCTGCTGCTGGGATTGTGAATCTGGAACACGAAGGTGTATCGGGCTGTGGAGGTCACTGTGTCCCTGCTCCTTCCTCCCCTCGGTGGCATGGAGACCAGCTCTGGTTTGGTAAGGGGCCAGCAACCCCCTAAGGTCTGCCTAGCTGGGACCCTGGCTTTGTATCTAATTTCTAACACCCTCAGACCACAGAAATCTTTGGGAGCTGCTGTCTGGGCTCTAGATTTCCCATAATAGACACAACCATCAGGCCTTGGTCTGTCTGGTCATAGGGACTTCCCCACCCCTCCTCCTGCCTGCCTTGGGTGAATGCTGAAATTCATCATGCACGATTCTCTTGTAACAAGATTAATAAGAGTTTTCATGGATATTGAACAGGAGATTCTAATACCTATCGAGGGAGGCTCAAGTGGATGACTTCTGATAGCTTTTTCCAGCCCTGAGAGTCTATGGTTCTGACATACCTAATATTATCATTAATAAGCTGTAATTTATAATAATGCTTTCAATGCTATGTGTCATTAATAATAATGGCTGTCATCACTCTGCCTTTCCCATTTGATGTGTGATGTCTGTAACTCCATAGTACATTACAGGTGAACTGGCTGAAGTCAGCACTTACCACTGACGTTGTCCTGGAAAGGAAACTGAGGCTGGAACAGGCTTCCAGCCCCCTGCCCCATGGCATAGCCCCTCCCGGCAGGAACCACTGCCCTGCCTTGGGTGGCCGAGGACCCCACAGTTCCCTGAAGCCACCCTCTCGCCAGGCCTGCTTTGTTCTCCCTACCCCACCCCACCCCTCAGAGGCGCCTAGGACAGCTGGAATTGCTAAGCCCCTGTTGGTCCGACTGCAAGCTTTTGGTCCTTTTGGTCCCCAGAGGGACCCAGGGCCACCCACACCCCCATGCCACCTTCTGATTCCTCCCTGTCAGACGTGTCAAGATTTGGGGAGTTAAAACCTCGAGATTTCTTCTAGCCCAAGGTGCCCTCTTGGGCTGTGTGGCTCTGGCCAGGCCATCTATCCATCTCTTCCTGAACAGTACTTTTCCTAGGGCTGCAAATTGTCTTGACATGAATGAAAACAACTCCCCTTGCTATAACCAAAGATCTAGGCTCTGGTGTAAGTGTATGAGCCCTCAAAGGCGTGCACAACAGCTTTCACCTTTGTGTCCCGGATTCAGAGCACGGGTGCTGACACCCAGGGGTCAGCAGAGCATGTTGAACAAACACACGCAGGTTCCTCCTCCTTATTTCTCCTGCTGGGCTCAGTCTCCTGAAAGCCAAAGCTCACAGGCTGAGACTCAGGCCTTGGACATGAATCCCACACAGCTCTGCAGCCCTCACCTACAGCTCTGTAGGCAATTTCAGAACCCGGCCCTGCACGGAGCACTTACCCAGCTCCACCAGCCCTTCTCTGCATGGTGCCTATGATACCTAGGCTGCCATGGCGTTTTGATCACAAGTTGAGATAATCTGTGTAGAGCTCCTAGAAAGCACATACACATAGGAAACTCAATAACTGTCAGCTGTGATGAACAATTTAATTTTGCAGTTCAATATCAATTGAAAAATGCCAGCTTTATGTCCATCTAATGAAGGTGTAGGGGATTCCCACAATTAGTCTAGGTAGGTAAGGCAACCAGGCCACCTTTGATGGACAGGCAGACTTGTCTCAAGAGTCAGAAATGGGTGGGAAGGACCTGACAGAGGACCCAGGAAGGAATGACAAGGAGGGAATTAAGGGAAGTTAAATTCCTTCCTCTTGGCCGTATTCCTTCTCAAATGGTGAGCAAGAAACCCACTCAGTACCAAAACATGGAGTCCACGACAGTGAGGGTACATGTGGGTCTCTGAGGTTTTGCTGCATGAGAAAGTGGGAACAGTGCCAGGTTAGCTAGCAGAGGTAACCATGGGTTGAGGAACAGGGCCCATCGGAGTAATCTGGGGGATTCAAGGCAGAGAAAGCTCACACTTGCAAAGCTGGTGTCACTGTTGGGTGTGCTCTGGGCCCCAGCAAATGAACATGTGTTAGAGGAGGTGCCCATGTAGATCAACTCACCAGATGGCTGTGGGCCAGATCGGCTTGGGCATCTAGATAGGCTTGGGGATGGGTGAACTTCCGGCCCCACTCCCTCATCAGTAGGGGAGAGGAATCTAACTGCAGGATCCACTGACATCTCAGAAAGGACCAGATCACACCCTTCCTTCCTTGCCCCTGCCTGAGGTGGATGCCCATGAGAGAGGTGGGGAGCATCCTAACTCTGGTCCCCTGTGGCACATTCCCGTGTTGCCTAAAGGGACTGGAAGACGAAGGACCCAAGACAGGACATTAACCGGGGAAGAGCCTGCAGTCTGGATCTGCTTCTCCCGAGTTGGTGAGGAGAAGAAAGATGCCAGCGGTTGTCCAGATTGCAGACAGGGGCAAAGCCACTGTTGTCAGATCCTAAACAGCTGTGACGGGGCCCAGGGGGCAGCGTTAGATGTAAAGGCCAGCTCCCGTCTTTGGTCTGGGAAGTGTGTCAATGTCCTCCTCTAGAAACTGCAGGGAGGGGAACCCACAGGCCTATCGTAAGCACTGCCTGGCTTGGACATGGAGAACCTTAATTAAAATGATGGAAGGTGAGAAATTACAATCTTTGGTTTAAAGGCTGAAAGAACAAATCAATATTTTCAAACTGCGAAGGGGACAAGGCTCCTTTTGCATGTGGGGAGAGCAGGTTACACGGGTCTGGTTCTACTACGCACAGGTAGAAACCACCGGTATCTACCTGTGAAAAGCTGTCTTGTCACAACAAGCTTCCCTGCTGCCAGCCACGTCTGCCTGGAGGGGCTGGCGTGGGAATCAAGGTGAGATCCCAAAGCCGCACATCCAGGTTTTGACTGCTGCTGCAACTGACAGGTTCTTCAGTTAAATACCTGTTTGCAGCAGTGGTTTGCCGGAACCCCAGTGACTGCAAGGACAGAGGAAGCCCTGCCCTGCTGAATATGCCGGGAGACCTTCCTTGCAGCGCTTGGAGATGAGGAGATGCAGAAGTAGCCAGGCTGCTCTGATGGGAAATCAGCGCCCCAGACTCCGGGACAACAGGCCCTTCCCTCCGAAGTAGGCATGCTGATGCCGCGACCTTCTGCTTACCTGGCTGAAAATGACATCCCTTCAAATGACAAAAAGAATGCCAGGGTCTCTCGGAATTGCAGCACTTAAGTTAGAGAAATGAAAAACATTTCCTTGGAGGGGGATCTGAGGCCGTGTCATATCTAGAGCGAGGGCAGAGACCCGCATGACATTTCAGCTGTCTCTCCTCTGCCAGAGGTGGGGAGCTGGGTGTCCAGTGAGACTGGGACCCACACATGTCCCCTCCTGACTGGGATAGGGGCTTGGAGCAGGAAGCAGAGAGGAGACAGGTTTAGTCCTAGACAAGCTGACATGGGAGTTTTAGCTCTGGAGGAAGAAGTCGAAGGCTCTCGGGGCAGAGGGGCCCAATGAGACTAGATATGGAGGCTCCTTAGCCGAGGAACTCCCTGGAGCTCACCAGCAGGGGAGGGAGTGAGGGTAAGGCTTTGCAACCCAGCTGCTGTGTGACCTTGGGCAAGTGACTTAACCCATCTGAGGCTCAGTAGCTTCATCTGTAAAATGGGCATAATATCTCCCTGGAAGGGACATAGGGAAGAGCAGTGAGGAGCATGTGAAGCACCAACCGCAGTACTGGGGAGCTGTAGGCACTCAGCCAAGGTGATTTCTGTCCACTCTCAAAAGCTGCCCTTCCAAGCCAATAGTGTCCAGAGCCACCCCATCCAATACGGCAGCCCATGCCAGCCACTGTGGCTCTCAGGCACTTTAAAGGCCAGTGGTCAGGGGGAAATACATGCCTGATTCCTAGAACTTGCTGCAAAGTAACTGTAAGCTGTCTTATGACTAATTTTAGTGATTGCATGTTGAAATAATACTTTGGCTATATTGGGTTTAATAAAATATATTGCTAATATTAATTCCACCCATTTCTGTACATGATAATGTAGCTATAAGAAAATATACAGCCACACATGGTGGCTGATGCTTCTAATTCCAGCAGTCTGGGAGGCTAAGGCAGGAGGATAGCAAGTTCCACTCCAGCCTGGACAATATAACGACTTATTGAGACTCTAACACAACATAAAAA